TGGACTCAGCACTGGTGAGGCCACCCCTGGAGTGCTGTGTCCAGTTCTGGGCCCTCAGCTCAGGAAGGACATGGAGGGGCTGGAGCAGGGCCAGGGAAGAGCAACAAGGCTGGGGAAGGGACTGGAGCACAAGTGCTGGGAGGAGAGGCTGAGGGAGCTGGGGGGGCTCAGCCTGGAGAGGAGGAGGCTCAGGGGAGACCTCCTGACTCTGCAACTCCCTGACAGGAGGGGGGAGCCAGGTGGGGGTCGGGCTCTTCTCCCAGGAACCAGCAGTAGGACAAGAGGGCACAGCTTAAGCTGTGCCAGGGGAGGTTTAGGTTGGATATTGGGAAGAAATTCTTTCCAGAGAGAGTGCTCAGCCATTGGAATGGGCTGGGCAGGGAGGGGGTGGATTCACTGTCCCTGGAGGTGTTTAAGGTGAGACTGGATGTGGCATCAGTGCCATGGGCTGGGAACCACAGCGGGGTTGGATCAAGGGTTGGACTTGATGGTCTCAGAGGTCTTTTCCAACCCAGCTGATTCTGTGATTCTGTGACAGGAGTTGGAGCCAGATGAGGGACGAGCTTCAAAGTAACAATGGACAGGACAAAACAAATGGCCTCAAGCTCTGCCAGGGGAGGTTCAGGTGTTATTTCTTCACTGACAGAGTGGTTAAGCAACTGTCCAAGGCAGTGGTGGAGTCACCAGCCCCAGAGGGTTAAAAAATGAGCAGATGTGGCACTTGGCAATATGGTTTAGTGGGCATGGAGATGTTCAGTCATAAGTTGGACTTGATGATCCTGGAGGTCTTCTCCAGACAAAATGATTCTGTGATTCTCAGTGACTGGGACCAGCTGCATCATCCACAGAGGGGTCTGTCCCTGGCTCCCAGGGTGGCTCCTGTGTCAGAGGTGGCCCTGGGTGCTGCTCAGTATGAAGTGGGTGCCTCAGACAACGAGACGGGCTGGGAAATGTTGAGAGTTAAAAGCACAGCACCAGCAATCCCGTCCCTCAGTGCTCCGTTTCCTCTCCCTGTTTTCTGCTTTCTGCAGCTTTGGGGGCCTCGGGTCATTGTTTTCAAGCTTCTCCTTCCAGTCTGGAGTCTCACTTACAAAGCAGGAGCTGGAGTTCAAAGCGATGCCTGGGAGCAAAGGGTGCCAGAGCATTATGGAAAAAAATAATAATCAGGAATCAGAGGAGCAGTGAGGAAGTTGGCAACTTGCTACAAACCCATGCTAAATTCAGGCCACTGAACCTGAGGTGTAAACAGCCATATCTCATTGCTGCATCTTCATTTTCTGGTTTTGATCTTACCTTATTTATTTCAAGCAAGATAACAGGGAATGTGACATGCTGAAATGAGAAAGGCCTCTACTAAAAGCAAACTGCTGTCACAGCCCATTGTGAGACCAGAAAACTGTGAGGAAAGGGCTGCTCATCTTGTTTAACCTTGGTCCAATTTGTAGCTTGAACATTGTAATAGCAATAAACTGCTACCACCAGTAGTCCAATTGCAAAGCTACTCAGCCTCACAGTCTGGATATTCTGCTTAACACAAGCTCAATTCATTAACAAATTTCACTTAAATGTTAATATTTAGTATCTCCCCCAGCTTCTCAGCAGCCAGGCTGGGTTGGACAGGGCTTGGAGCAACCTGGGCTAGTGGAAGGTGTCCCTGCCCATGGCAGGGGGTGGAACAAGATGAGCTTTAAGGTCTCTTCCAAGGAAAACCGGTCTGTGATTGTGAGATTATATCAACAGATATGAAAACACGGATAAAGCTGAGTAAACGCTGAAGAACAACTCTGCAGGTTTGATTCTTTGTGATCAGCTTAGGCACTATTTGCAAGCGTTCAGCCAGGCATCAGTTATCTGTCAGAGCTTCCCAAAGCCTGTGATGCTTATCACAAGTGGATTGGCACCTGGGGACTCCTGCAGAGCACGGCTATTTTTGGCTGCCTCACATTGTTCTCCAGCTTATGAAGTGTCACTCACCCATCTGGAGCCAGGGGGACTTGTGAGGTGAAGCTGAGCACCAGCCAGGCTGCGAAGAGCAAAGGCATCTCTGCCACCCTGTAGGATGGACATGGATCATCCTGGCTCCTTGAAAATGTCAAGTGATATGGTTAAAGGAAAACAGGAGATGCTCACTGATAACGTGACTTATGTGGGTAAATCTAGAAGGCGTTGCTTGAAAAAGTTATTTACGGATAAACTTTGAACCAAAGCCATGAACGGATTATTGCTTTGTTTCTGGCCAATTTATTTCTAGCCTTGAGCTTTCTAAACTTCACCCTGAATAAGGATTTTAACAAAAGAAGACAGTCCCAGGTTTCCTGAGCAATGAATCGTTCCCAGAGTTGGAGTTACCAGCATCCCTCGTGCAAAACTATGCAATGCTCACATTTTATAGAGGCAGCACCTCACTGTAACTTTTCAACTGTCTTCAAACCTCCCAGGCAAAGACCCCTTTTCTCAGGGCAGTCAGCACCTCTGAGGCTGAGACACCTGCACGAGAACCTCGTGTTTGTGTGGCATGGGCTGATGTAACCAGAAGAACACGAGCGATGTGGTCATCAAAGCTTCATCTTTGCTTGGCTGATTTCAAACGAGTCACACAGAGTGAGAAGCCCAAACGTCTGTGTTAGACTGAGCTGGCCCTCCTAAGGCATGGAGGATTGTTTGCCTGCCTAGAAACACGGTGTATATGGGGTTGTGTGTGCCTTCAAGTAGGGCAGATATCATAAAAATCGGTGGCAGAGAGAACAAAACACTTAAACTGATTTAGAGCAGGGAAAACACAAGATGGCACAAGTAGCATTTCAAGGATGCTCCGTGAAGTTGAGAAACGAGTAATTCATGCAGTGCCTTAAAGCCACAACCCCCCTAACTGGAAAATACTAAACAGCACAATTGCACTATAAATCTCTGTGCTTGCCCAGGAAAGGTCCCTGTGCAGTAGCTCATCTGGGTGTCACACAGCCTTAGGAAGCATCCTAAACATGCCTGTGCAGATTGTGTTATTTTACAGACCTCCAAAAGCCTCAGATAAGGTATTTGCTACCAGGAGATGCTGCCACGAGTAGTTTCCTGGCCTGGGTCTGCTTTGCAGTTCTCTGGGGCCCTCCATTCACCTGTTGTGATCCCAAACACACGGACACAGGAGCCACCACGTGCTCCAGGTGGTGCCTGCTGCCTGATTGCCTCCTGGAATTTCCATGGAGCGGGATAGGGAGGTAAGTGCTCGTGGATGGGTGTGGGTGGGACTGGAGTAAACATCACCTCATTGTGTTTAGTCACCTCCTGACAAGTGCTGAGGGTGCTGGATCCCTACCAAGGTCAGCAGGAGCTGAGAAAACTCGGTGTCACTCAGAACTAAAGGCATGGTGTAACCCAAAAGCTGTGGCTGCAGTGCTGAGGTATCTGATGCTGTGCCTGGCTGTGCCCCCTGGGAGCCTGCCCTGCTGCCTGCTGGCACCCAGGGACCCTGACCTGGAGCCTTCTCTCAAATCTGTCCTGAATGTGCAGCCAAACCTTGGGCTGATCCCCTGGGCCTCTCAAGCAGTTCAGGTCTTGAGGAGGATTTTGTAGCTTGGACTTCCCTTCACATCTTGCAGCCCTGGGATGGATCCTTGGACGACATTCAGCAAGAACAGCCTTCCCAAGTCATGCTGACACAGCAGCTCTCATCTCTCCACTGCACACCCAGGATGCCAGTACTGCACACCCAGGATGCCAGTACTGCACACCCAGGACACTGGTACTGCACACCCAGGGTACTGGTACTGCACACCCAGGACACCAGTACTGCACACCCAGGGTACTGGTACTGCACACCCAGGACACCAGTACTGCACACCCAGGGTACTGGTACTGCACACCCAGGACACCGGTACTGCACACTC